AGGGGTCTAACTTATTGGCCCGAGAATGATGAAGTGTCGAGAGAATGGTTCCCCTTCGCTACTGCTTTTCGCTCGACTTTTGGAATAAACCGTATTTCAAGATAGTAGTCGAAGGAAGGCCAACAGAGGCTATAAATGACGAGAACAAGAGCTCTGTCACCTCCTTTCCTGGACCCCCTCCTGGTCATTCATACAGTCTCACTCCCACTTTCACTATCTACTGGAAAGGTAAAAGCTTGCAAGCAGTTTTTTAGGCCTCTCGACCAGCAGCTTGCTCAATTGTAATCAAAATTTCTATTTTTCTGCCATCAATCTACTTAGATTAGTTTTTGTGAAGCATCTCGGTGAAGTCAAACTTCTTGAGAAGCATCTAGGTAGAATTGAACAACTTTTCGAGGGGATGATAGAGACGCACAAAAATTTAGCGCATGAAGGACTTTGCTTTGTTTGAGTGCAGCACAGCGCGATCAAAGCAAGCGGCGCAGTAGCTAGTAGGGCCACACCTTGCACTATCTGAAAGATCAGATTTTGCTCGGCTCCACCAAGCTTTCCATTTCGAGCGAGAGTAAAAAAAAAGAAAGTTTTCGTTATTGAATACGCATCGGAGTGCGCCGTGCACTGCATTTGACTTTTATTCAAGATAGTAACGGAGTTGTTTGAATGCTTACTAGACCTGCACAAAGTGTTGTGGGTCCAGGTGATTGCAGGTCAATGCTTCTAGTCCTCCTGGACGTGTCTGGTGTAAATTGGCTGACTATCGAATGATGAAAAGCCCGCCAGACTCAGACAGGTGTTGGTCGCCTGCGTGGTAACATCATCATTTGGGACTGCCCCACCTCCGCCAAAAATCCCTCGAATCATTCGAGAGTATAGGGTCTCTATTATGGATACAGGCGAATGCCCACCTAGATACATACTTCTGTTATTGCAACTGGGTCGTAAGGGCGTAGAGTCTCGAAGAGACGGTTCAAAGCTGGGAACTCATCCGTTTTACACCTTCTGAAGGAAATCGAACTTTGCCTTTCCCCATCTCCCTTTTGCTCACCTGTGTACTGTGTTTACTACTGCTTGTTTGTCCCTAAACTCCTTCGAAAATTAAGCCTGTGGGTTGGGTGCTAGCGATGTAGGCAAAAGCGAATGATGTGAAATCGATGTTTGACAAATAGTTCTTCGTTACACAGTTGCTATTCATGAGCTAGTTCCCTGTGTTGATGGCATGGTCAGAGGGCATTTCCCATGCTAACGGTGCTTTCGGCCGACCCATCGATGCTCCCCTCTTCTTTTCATGCTTCGATCAACACCCGCACAAACGCACACAACGACGAAAACAACACAAGCAGAAGAAATCGGTAATTCGACTTGCGGGAGCTATATTTTGATTCCGTAAGGGACTTTCTACACTTACTCCCGGATCTGACCAGCGCCCAGGATTTCTATAGCACTTATACTTAGGTAACCGCTTTCCAACTGGTCTTGAGACGCGAGTCAGATTTCATGATAGATTTCACTTAGTAATGACAATAATGATGATGAAGGTGACATCTTTGTCGGCGAACTCGCTTTAGGAGTGCGCCCTGCACTTGAGATACATGGGAATCGTAGTAGCTTCAGTGAATGCATATGCGGCCTATACAATGACGTTGGCCAGCTGATGTATAAATGGCGCTCTTAGCCTCTGAGACGAATACGGTTCGAGGGTCAAGGGACCGAGTTGTACCCATAGGCCGTCCCCGAAGGAACGGAAGGCTCGGTTGGCCTAGGCAGGTATTCATCGAGTGTTCGACCCTCGGACCACGGGGGTGATAGCGCTGGATCCATTCTTTTGAACTATTGACTCCTCCCAATCGTAGATTCAAGACATTAGTTCACTTTCTCGAACTGACAATTCCGACTGTCCCTCTCCGGATAAGCCGACATAAGCACAAGTATGCATTCGAAGAAAATGCCCTAATTTCTGACTGTGGCTAAGCCTTTTGACTAATTTATCACATGAATGATTCAGATTGAAGTACATCAAAATAAAAACATAACGAAAACACTTTATAAGTGATGCATGCGTCTTTGAGACTCGGTTAGAGCCTATCTCATGAGCATGCCGTAGATGATCTGATCGCGATGAATAGCCCAATGGACTCCGTGGAAACTGGGAGAGTGCGTTCCTGCGTTTCTTGGCCTAGTATAGTGCCTCATCGGGTACAATTGAATAATCTATGAAGTACCGTGAGACGACTTCCCGAACTATGCTTTCTTCTACTTGTATTCTTTTATGACTAATTGTAAGCGGTCCCAGAAGTGAGTTGATGAGAGTGTTCGCATTCGCCAATCCCTTTGAAAGAGCTAGAGAATTTTATTTCTGAATTTGCTGGACGAGAGTTACAGAAAAGTATTGTGAGACAATTATGAAAGAGGTTGAGCCCGAAAATTCCTCAATAATGTAAAGTGACGACGTATAGAAAAGTGCTTCAAGCAAGTTCGATGAATCAGGCTGGCCTGTCAGGGAGGAAGGTTTCTCAGCAGACCAGACCTGTAGGGTTGTGGAGAGGATTTGTGCGAAAAGGTTTTTTTTTACATAATTTTAGACACTTCTGTTAACCGAAGTAAGTATACGTACATTCGTTACAAGTAATAGTTATGGAGCCAACGATTTGAGCTGTAATGCTGCTTGGGAGGATACGGCCGCATGAAATAAGAAATTCTCAAATCCAGAACAAGGGGAAGAGGGAATTAGATTCACAGAACTCAAAGGTTGCTCTCATAGCCCACGATTTGGCCCGCGAGCGAACGATCGACCGACCGAGCTCGCGGTATCGACCGAAATTCAGTTGTAAACTAGGGACAAGCGCCGCCCCAATCGCTCGCTCGGTCGGTCGGTCGCGGGCCAAATCGTGGACTATGAAAGCAGCCAAAGCGGTAAAGCTGAGTGAAAAGGGAGAATGTGACAGGTACTGGTAAAGCGCAGTGGAAGGAGATGAGAACATTCAAAATTGCCCCTGATGGACTTGTATTCATACTATAAAGCTATTCGCCAGTGAGAGACTTTCAATAAGAACTGTATTCCATAATAACTTACTAATTTGATCGATTTCAGTTCCATGTGATACCGTTTAACGAGAACAATCTTGGCATGCAGACGCAAGCGCTCGGTGAGTCCACTCCTCCACATAGGCAATGACTTCAATCAAAAGTATGCTTCCTCCCTGATGACGATCGGTAATGACTTCATTCAGAGTCAACATTTGGCCAACCGCTGCCACCTGCCGATCCGCAACATATCCAAAGTCGACATTATGGTCAGAACGCACCGAGTAATAGCGACACCAGTAAGTGAGGCAGTAAATTGCGACCCTTTTTGCCATGCCCTCTCAACTAAACCTCTCTCAAAAGTGGCGGACTGCTTGATGTTGACCTATCCTTTTTGCGAAGTACTTATGCCCATGTTCCATTAAGATCGTAACAATAGTGTATTTGGTCTGTACAAGCTACCGCATAGGGAAATTGGATAAGCTATACATCTGTCGGGCATGTTCTCAATGAACCCTCTCTGAAAACGGGCGAAACTTGGAAGTATCAAGCTAGGTTCGGCCTTTTCGCCATCATCAGAACTTGAAGATCGGTAAACGGTCGAGACCTTTCCAGCAAAGAAGTCAGGCAGTTAGGCAGTAATGAATTCAGCTCTCTAAAATGCCTTTCCCACCCGATTTTAATGGAATCAAGAGCGCTACATTGTTTTCCCCGGTGTCGCTGTATCCCAAGATCGATTTCTAATGAAGAACATTGTGAGTGAAATGAGCAGACCCACCAACAACAAAGAGTCCCTCCTCTAACATATCAAAACTCAGAACATACGGTGTAGTCACGGAAGGAGCGAAATCGGATTCTCATTGCCTCTTCCTTCCTTCTAACTTCCGGATTCCCAGCGGGATATCAAACACGCGGCTCATCAAGTCTTCAAACGTGGCAACATTCATTCCTATTGATATTTTGTTAAGGGCACAGTACACGATAAAAATGGTTTCCGAGATTCGCCCACAGGATGAATTTGAGGCCTCCGCGTATACCATATCTGGCACTATTAGGTTGGAAAACGGCCTAGTTATGGAGTTATAAAGGATCAAAGATTGGCTCGTGTGTATCCTCGGACGAGTTTCACCAGCATTGTAGAGGCTGCACCGATCACAAGGGAACCCATCTAGGAAGTTCGAACAACTCTTCACGACCCACAGAGAAAGTGAAAGACAGTTCTGTACAGTTCTGGCTTGATGTAGTCAGCTCTTTGNTCTTCACGACCCACAGAGAAAGTGAAAGACAGTTCTGTACAGTTCTGGCTTGATGTAGTCAGCTCTTTGCGCAATTGCATATTTCTCTCGAAGTTGGCGAGTTTTCTCGCTTACTTCTCTACCGATGAACTATTCCCAATCTATACTTCCGCTTTTCGAATAAAAACGGGTACCCCCAAAATTGTTGTGAACTGTGCCTTTGACAATATCAGAATTTTCAAACACTTCGAATGAAACTGAGCCGACTGATCGAAACTGCAAAGATAGCAGCTCTAATTAGGTTGATCCAACACTTGACTCTCGAATTATGTAGGTACGGTGGTTGACATTTGAAAAGTATGATGTGCACTTTTGATTTTTTGAATAATCAGTCACGCATGAAAAGTAAAAATAGGAGCCTGTTCGCGTCCATACCACTTAATCTACTGTAGCATTGGCCAAGTGTGCTACCATATTCCCATTTTGGCTTTTCGTGTTTGTTTTGGGATTCATTCGGAACACATAACAACTTTATAGTGAAGAATTCGAGGTTAGGCAAAATTGAAATATGGGTGAGAGGCCCAGGGAATCGGTTATAGGCAGCTCAAAATATCAGCTAAGCCGAGTGGCTAGAATCGAATAACCTTAGGACAGCTGAGCTGATTCAATGGGCGTTGGGCGTTGACCTTTCCTATGAGGGATACACCATCGCAACTGAAACATAGGCACGTATACGTAGGCGCTCCACAAAAAGGGATATTAAAAAACATGGAAAAGCTTCTGTTCTACCTTTTTATGCAACAACGGTGACTTTGTCTTGCAACAAGACAAAAGCCCCAGGACGTTTTGTTGCTCCGGTGTATGGGAGCGTCCAGCAGCATCACTTCCCTCTGACTTTGAAACTGAAACTTTGGAATGTTCACTCTTTAATTCCATAATTTTACTTCATTCTGTACAAGTGATCCGTCCGACCTGAGCATCCTTGGGGCGCTATAGTGGGAACTAGAAAAACGCCTCGCAAAGGAATGGTTCAGCCGTGGAAGGCGGAGCTCATAAGGAAATAGGTTGACAAAAAAAATTCTGACTCTTAATAGTTACAACTGCCAGGTATAATTTACTCCGAAGATTTCCTCCAAGGAATCAGTTCTGTCGAGCAGCTTTTATTTCGTCGAATCATAGGTATCACCTTCAGGCGGATCTAAAGAAAAGTCCCTGAGCTCCATGTATTTTGCTTGCTAATGTCTCAGGTAAACCCATATTTTTTCCTATTTTTCTATTTGAGGCAGAGGTGGTGTGGTTTCAAGCGGTGCCCTATCACGCATGCATGGTCACTGGTTCAAATCTCGGAGAGATATCCTTTCATGCCGAGTCGATTACTTGGTACCACATTCGTCTAGGATCATCAAAGCATTGATCTGTACATCTACTTACTGTCCATCGTATTTCGTTGAAGAGGTCACATATGCATTGGAATCTCCACTATGATTCTGAATGAAAGTCGAATGCGGAGCGCATCCAGAAATTGAACCAGTTTGCTCAAAAACTATTCTTTTTCATCCGCAGTTGTTATAAATAGAAGAATGTTGATTGAGTAAAGATATTAAAGGCACAGTTTACGATAATGGTGAGATACCTCTTTTAAGTCGAAAAACGGAAGTATAGGTTGGGAATAGTTCATTGGTAGTGAAGAAAGCGAGAAAATTTGCCGATTTTCAGAAAAATAAAGCTTCTCAAAAGTAGGGAAAATAGAGTTTGGACGAGATCACCATGGCGGAACTAACAGAAAAGGGGTATCCGGACGAGATTTAAGTTGTTGCAATTGCGCGAAGAGCCGACTACTTCAAGCCAGAACTGAACAGAACTACCTTTTATTGCCGCTATGGGTCATGACAAGTTGTTTGAACTTCCTACATGGGCTCCTTTGTGATCTGTGCAGCCTCTAAAATGCCGGTGAAACTCGTCCGAGGATACACACGAGCTAATCTTTGAGCCTTTATACCGCCCTAACTTGACCGTTTTCCGACATGATAGCGCCAGATATGGTATGAGAGGGAGCCTGCCTCAAATTCGCAGAAACCGTTTTTATCGTGAACTGTGCCTTCAAGTTATGAGCTTCAACGTTGACCATTTTACCACTGACCAAAGAAAGCCCAACCAAGGAGGATTGGTTCACATCATTCCACTCTAAGTAGCTCCTACTATCCAACATAACTATGAAAGCTTAGCAATTTATGGTGCTGGGACACATGAATGTCGATTTTTGAATGGACATTTAACCGCTTCTGCCTTTTTTCACTAATTACAAATCTTGTACTGGCTGATCTGTGCTACGTCGACATAAACAGTAACAATAGAGCGGTTTTATGTCCGTTGAGGACTTTTGTATTCTTCAGTAATTATTTGAGTGGATAGATTGATCTTAATTTCAGCTCGTTCGCGGTCACGATCCACTGAAGGCACGGATAACACTGAAGCTAGTCATAGTAATCAAACGATCAACGAGGTGAATGCCTTTTTGCCTTTTTTTCTGTTATGCAACGCGATCGCTTAAAAGAAATCCTTCGAAGTCCTCTCTGCCACCTTTCACGATTAGTTTCTTAGCTTTAGCGTTTACACTGTCTGCTTCTACTTTCTACTAAAACCTACGTTTGAGCTTAAATGCACACTTCACAATAAATTGGGAGGAACGAGGACATGGCGCGTTTATTAGTAAAACCAGGAACGAAGTAAAAAAGTTGCCTTGAAGGGGCATTTGGACGAGTGCCCAGATGTGTGCGTCCCGCCGCGAATGGTGGAACCTCTGCAGCTTCTGCAACTCTGTGACAACTCGTCCGCCTTGGGTGTGCATGTCGGCTAAACCGGTTTAAGGGCTCTTGTCGCGCCCTATCTCAGCCGTTTTTCGACCTGATAGCGTCCCTTAGGCCATCCTTAGGAGTCACAAGGTCGTAGGATGAAGTCCCAGAAACCATTTTTACGGTGAACTGTGCCTTTAACTCGACAATTTGCTTTCGCTCGCTGTTTCATTTATAACTTCTTACAGAAAAAGTTTGGGAAAAGGTGTCTATAGTGTACAACTCACACAATTCGCTAACTGACGCTCGTCTATGTTCCGTTCAATAAACCCAAATTTTATCTTTTTCATAAATCCTCGTCCTTCATTGTCGACTTCTTTGACTTTTCGGGCTTTCAATTTTGACAGAAGAGATCTTCGAATACTTCCCAGCTCTCAGACGGTCTGTCTATTCATGCGGAGGAAGATTAATTCCACCCGCGTTAACCTAATAGTACTGAAAACAATATAGGTGAGACCCCCAGAATGATTTTTTTGAAATCCCACTGAACCTTCATCGAAAGCGAAGTATTTATCATTTCCTCCCCTTTATCTTTCAATCACCACAGCACCCCAAGTGGTTTTTTATTCGTTTTTGCCAATTTTTTCAAGTGGTTCTTGTGCAGCCTCTCATAAAAAAGTTTTTTCCATCCATCCCAATTACTCTATCACCTGTTATCTCCATTACTAGTTGTGCTCTTCTCTCATTAGCCGGCAGTAAACGCTTTACCTAAACTCTCCTACCGTATCCAAATGGGATGGCGTACGGCCTGCCCGATACTATCGCTCTTTACGCTCTCCAATTTGCACTATCGCCCTTACCGTAGGACAAAGGCGTAATCAAGTCAATGGCACTCATCACTCATGGTTTTTCATCAACACTTGTGCCCTGCTATCAGCCTCTTTCGATTTTTTCTATTATTTTTTTATTCTGTGACAGGACTTCTCAATGGTCATGGGTCCAATGCTATCAATGACACCAAACATTGGCAGAAATGGCTTTTTTAAACGAAACTTCGAAG